TTTTTTTTTTTTTTTTTTGGCTTAAGAAAGATTTACAAGGCATCCTTCCCTCACAATTCTTTTCAGATTCTTATAGATGTACTGGTGTTGTCCTCTTCATTTCTTAGACTCCACAAATGGCCAAGTCCCCAAAGATGCAGCAATGTCCCCTTATAGGTCTAACTGGAGAAAAGAGCTACTTATGTTACCATGAAATAAATCTTCAATGGAACCAGCTTTTCAAGCATTAAATGTACAACAAAAGCCAAAAATTAGCAAAAAAAGTAAATATTCCACTTTTTAAATATATTCAGACACCATCTGCAAATACCAGATTGTTCTCGGCGTGTTAACCTATTTAACCCTATAACAGGCTTGTAAGATTAACTCATTTATTTAATCCTTGTAAGACTCCTAGAAAGTAGATTAATTTATTCTTTGTCACAGCCCTAGGAGAGATTATTTCCATTTTGCATATAAGAAAAGTAATGTAGGAAGAGGTTGAACAACTCAACTCGCCCATGGTCACACAGTGAGAAAATGGAAAAGCTGGGACCAGAACCCCATCAGCCAGTCTCCGGAGTCTGTTGCCTCCCCAGCAAAGTGTGCTTTCAGCAAAGTGAATGAGAACACTATTCGACAATTTGCCAGCCAGTGTCTTCCATTCCATTTCCTAATTACACAATAATAAAAAAGCAATCATGCATCCCTCCAACTTAATCCTCACAATTCAGAATTCAGTGTTAACTTGGGTCATTTCTTTCTTTTTTTTAAAAAAAATTTTTTAATGTTTATTTATTTTTGAGAGAGAGAGAGAGAGAGAGAGAGAGAGAGAGAGAGAGAGAGATTGTGAGTGGGGGAGGGGCAGAGAGAGAGGGAGACACAGAATCCGAAGCAGGCTCCAGGCTCTGAGCTGTCAGCACAGAGCCCAACGTGGGGCTCGAACCCACAGACCCCAAGATCATGACCAGAGCTGAAGTTGGACACTTAACTGGCTGAGCTACCCAGGCACCCCTAACTTGAGTCATTTCTTAAAAACCAGTTGATCTAGAATATATTTATTTTTGAACCAATATACTATTTGACATCACCATTGCTAGCTATTGTTTATTAAATTGGCTTCCTCCAAATGTTTAAAACTTAGGAATTAGAGGGCCAACCTGACTGATAACAAAACCTGACAGGTCAGCCCCTTCTGGTACATAGGGATGGATATGTTTAATCCGGCCTGAAATCCCTCAAACTCAGCCTCACGATGCAGGTTATTAAGTAGCTACAGGGCACAGCTAGGCAATTTCAGTGAAAGATCCATTTAGTAGAATATCTGTATGGCAAGAAGTTATTTGTTATTCCAACGTCTCTGACATCTTTTCCTTTGATTTTTGAAAAGTAAAACAAAAACAAAATAAAAATTCCTGAGCAAGGGAAGGTCCATAACTCCACCAAAGTATGCTTTGAGGGAAAACACATATTCCCTGTAAACGTAGGCAAGAAAAAGTGGCATATTTTCCTATAATTTTAGGAATCGCTGAAATGTAAAGAAAAGAAACTACAGTAGTTACATTCAGAGGTTCACAGAAGTTTAGTGCTGAGGGAAGAGGAATGATCTCATCATGGTCCAAGTCCCACACATTAAAGATGTCTGTTAACACGAATCAAAACATCCTCGCTCAGCTCTAAAGGTCTTCCATGGTCTGACCCTCCATGTCTAAGAATAATCTCCTAGACTCCCCTGCACATCAGCCTAACTGGAATAAACACTGATCCTTATTCTTTCTTCCTTTTAACAAAGACTGATTAAGAAACTTCTATGAAACTGAGCTGGAATCTAGGAATAAAAACATGAGTACACGGGTATGATGACATTTCTGCCCTTGAGGAATGGTCATTTCAGTGGAGGACTTGGCATGGAGATTTATATGAAATGTCTCAGCCTAAGGAGGTGGAGGAGGGGAGGTCCTCACACAGAAAATGCACAGTTTTAAAGAGAGACTAGCCAGGAGCTCACCAGGTGGGGCAAGGAGGAGAAAGCAGCCCAGACAAATGGAAAAATGTCCCAGAGACCAAACAAGTATGAAACAGTATAGCACGTGTTGGGAGAGCTTTACATAACTTGGAATGACTCAACTGCAGATGAAGGGATAGTGGGAGGTCAGTTGGAAGGGAAAGGAAGGGCTCATCATGAAGGGCCACATATACCTGGCTGAATATGTGGGACCCATCCTCTGGTAACAGGATCTGGTGAGGAGATTCAAGCCAGGGAATGACACATCAAAGATATACTAGAAGGATCATCCAGCAACTGGGGAATGGATGAGACCAGGGCTAGAGCAGAGGTCAGGGAGCGGGTTAGAGCTTCCTGTGATAAACTCGGTGAGAAACAACAAGGGTGCAAAATATAATTGTGGCAGGTGCCACGAAGCAAGAGAAAGAGTCGAAAAAGATAAAAGGTACAAAAGATGCAGTGCTTTGTGTTGGCTTTATGTTTTACCGCAATCCCCATTGAAACAATGCCAACTCCCTGCCTTTGTGGAAGCAAAGCACACCCTCCTTTCAAGATCCAAAGGAAATGCTGCCTCCTTCAGGAGCTATTCTCCCCATCGCATCAGTTCAGGGGATAGCTCCCTCTCTGCCTCTTCCTCTCTGTCTTTCTGTAGGTCTCTCTGTCTCTCAATGGGACTTTCATAGCAATTTTGTTGTCTTTCCCTTAAACCATTTCTCACTTTTTGCCTTTTATTATACCTACTTACATTAAAAAAAAATCACTCTTGGGGTACCTCGGTGGCTTAGTCGGTTGAGCATCCGACTCTTGGTTTGGGCTCAGGTCATGATCGTACAGTTTTGTGAGTTCGAGCCTCGAGTTGGGCTCTGTGCGCACAGTGTGGAGCCTGCTTGGGATCCTCTGTCTCCCTCTTTCTCTTTCTGCCCCTCCCCCAACTCGTGATTTCTCTCCCTCTTAGAATAAATAAATACACTTTAAAAAATCATTTATTTATGTATTTTTTAAAATTTATTTTAATGTTTATTTATTTTTGAGAGAGAGAGAGAGAGAGAGAGAGAGAGAGAGAGAGAGGACAGAGCACAAGCAGTGAAGGGGCAGAGAGAGAGGGAGACACAGAATCTGAAGCAGGCTCCAGGCTCTGAGCTGTCAGCACAGGGGCCAACGCGGGGCTTGAACTCACAGACTGGGAGATCATGACCTGAGCTGAAGTCAGACACTTAACTGACAGAGCCACCCAGGTGTCCCTTAAAAAAAATCTTAAAACAAAACCACTCTCTAGATTTTCCATGAATGTGGGAAAATTCCTTGGTCATCTTTTGTACCCCTCGGAACCCCTCTTCCCCATGTCTCTTGCATATATTGTGACTACCCAGCAAATATTTTTACATGAGTGACTTAGGAAACTGATGTCCTGAGAGTCTAGATAAATGGCTTCAGTGATGTGGCTCACACAGCTAGTTAAGGTCATGTCAGGGCCACATCTAGAACCCAGGAATCCTGACTTCTAATGCAGTGTTCTTTAAATGATGTAGTGGACCTGTCTCCCTATATTGATCTCAAGCTAAACTCATGGCCCCTTCTTACATGAGCTTCATCTCTGTGTGCTCCCCTGCAGGGGAGGCACTGTATTTTAGCCGAGTCTTAAACCTCAGGTAGGAGCTACGCCGGCAGCCGCAGCAAAGCACGGTCCACCCGGGGAAGTCGGTGGCTGCAGGCAGAGTGCATGAAAGCACACGTTCCTGGCACCGGCCTAGGAAACACGTTGCTATTTTCAGTAGGGCAGTCTGTCTTTCTTGGTCTCTTTCCCTCCTGCCTTCCTAGACAGACATCCATGGGAAATCAATCAAGGCCTGAACACCACGACACCGAGCCTGCTTTACTAGTCACGCCAGTCTGGCAGCCAGCAGGCATCTGGCTGCTCACTTCCCGGAGCAAGGAGCACGGAGCACGAGGAAAAGTCTGGGCGGGACAGTTCAGAGAACAACTGGCTTTTGACAGAGTGCCCACAGCCTACCACTGTGGCGTCCCCGCCCAGTGCCTATACACTAAATGGTTTCTGTCTTGGATAAAAATTCCAGGGCCACGGGGGCCCTTTTCTGTTGATTTACAATGATCGAGGACAATATTATTAACGAGTGCTTTCTTTCCGGGAAATAGTTTGTTGGCATTTCTGTATGGCCATATTCAAGAGCTACAACAGGCCAGGTGGATAAGCAGAGTGGGGTTCTGCTTACCTAACACATTCTCCACCCTTCGTACACCCCATTTTCTTCTCCGTAGGATCCTGGAGCTGGTTCTTCTCTCCTATCCCATCTCTCATAGATCATATGAACCCAGCTCAGGTTAAGGGAAACTAGTTCTAGGAGGTGTCAGCAAAAGTTCAAGGAACAAAAAGATCAGCTCGTGCACACGTGATTTTATTAACCAAATTAACCGGCTCTTGCTTTTTCTCATTTCATTTCAGGATGCCTCAAAGTCTTTGATGTCCTGAAATCCCTCATGACTTTCTGAGAAACAGATTTAGTATGCACAGTCTCTGACACTGCTTTAACCAGCACCCCTTACTCTCCGAGCCCCACTGACATATTCCAGAACTCTTGTTCCCAAGAACAGTTTGGGAAGCAGACTAAAGCCTGGTAGGAGAGATCATGTTTTCAAATCTCTTTTCTGGTGAGGAATAGACTAGGACCAAATGAACAGAAAAGTTTACAGTGAAAGGATGGTAGAGACAGGAGTGTGTGTGTGTGTGTGTGTGTGTGTGTGTGTGCCTGTGTCTGTGTCTATGCACATGTGCATGCATGTGTGCTTGTGCATGATAATGAAGGTGAGTGTTAGAGTATGTTTCCACATGCATGACCATAATTAGTAATACCATTTTGGATTAAAACTATATGTGTGAAGAGAAAGCAATCAAATTTTCTTCTGTGACCCATTACAGCTGGATTTGAAAAGAGGAGATATAAAAGTGTTTGAACAATGACATTGTATTTGGAATGAGTATATGGCTTTGTAAAGTAACTGCTGAGAAGAGCATTCATTTGGGTGTGCAAATGAGGATGTGCTTGCTAAAATCTGGAGGCATTTTTTATGTTCATATCTTGTGTGTGTGTGTGTGTGTGTGTGTGTGTGTGTGTGTGTGTATACACCTGCATATGTGTCATGTAAATCTTAGCTTGGGAAAGAACTCTGAGGATGACATAATTATACTGAAATGAGTTTAGAGAACAAAAAGTAGCATGGCAGTCTGGGTAGCCAGAGGGAGAGTGGTGTCTTTCCAAATGAGAACCAGTGTTTCTCTAATGTTTTGTTGACTGTGGTAGGCAGAAAAAGCATCCCCCAGAGTGTCCATGTCCTAATCCCCAGACCTGTAAATATATTACCTTATGTGGCAAGAGAGACTCTGCAAATGTGACTTAGTCAAGCATTTTGAGGTTATCTATGGACACTCTCTAGGATTATCCGGTGGCCCAGATATAATCATGTAGGTCCTCAAGGCAAAAAACCTTTCTAGACTGTGCTCAGAGGGAGATGTGATTAGGGAAGAATGGCCAGAGAGCTGAAACACTGCCGACTTTGGAGATGGAAGTAGGCCATAAGCCAAGGAATGTGGGGGGCTTTGGACACTAGAAAAGACAAAGAAATAGATTCTCCCCTAGAAGCTCCAGAAAGGAAATGCCAACACCTTGATTTTAACCCAATGAGACCATGTCAGACTTCTGATCTAAAGAACTATAAATTAATAAATTTGTGTAGTTTTAAGGCACCAAGATTGCAGTAATCTGTTATGGCAGCCATAGAATCTTAGCTCGTTAACATCTCCGCCCTCACCCTTCAGATTTCACTCTTCCACAACTTCTTCACCTGTTTGCGGTACTGCATACATTTACGCATCTCCAATTACTTCAGTTTACGGATACAGATTTAGTGTGTCACAGATAATGTCAGAATGCTGACTAATACCGACACGTAGAAGGAACAACTTGAAAGTCACAGAAGATGCCATATGTGGTTTTGGAGGCCATTAAATGCAACCACCTCAGCCTACAGATGAGGAAACCGACCCGGATGTGCTCATTTCTTTCTCTCCTATCTCTCTCTCTCCTTGAGTCTATCTCTATCCCTCCCGTTGATCACACTTAAAAACCCTCAGAAACTAGAAGCACAAAAATGGGAGGTAATTAGTTCCACTTACTGGCTTTCACTTATTTGCTTACGTGTGAGTGTCTGTTTCGACAAGAAATCTTGTCTTTCTTGCAGGATTTCGAAAGAAAAATCTATTCCCATTCTTATTAATGCTTGAATCTCTCAACTTCATATTTTTTCCCAAGGAGACAGGCCTAATTAACACATAGCTATTACACCCAATCCCTGTAAAGATGACACTGAACTCACCTAGACAAACAGAGAATTGCAAACAATGGAAATATACATAAGCAGAAGCATAGCTGATTATTCCCTATGGGGACCATCTGTCTCTAGCCATGATATATGCACAGTCTGATCTTACTCTTTCCCCCAGAAGCTTCTCTGGTTTCCTTCATACATTCCCACAGAGTCCAATACTGAAGAAACATTTTTGGCCAACACAGATGCTGGTAAATTTAAACACATACATAAACCAAGGGATGACTGAGCAACTGCTACTGCTGCATACTCACAGGTGGCCCCAGGGCACCTTGAGGCCCCATGCTTCCTGTGATCCCTGGGACTCCAGGGGCGCCGGGAATGCCCTGAATAGAGAGAGAGGAGAATGGAACAAAGGTGAGTACTCATACATTCTCATCGAAGACAGCCAGTTCTCAAGAAGGAGTAACAAACACACACAGCGATAGCTTCCTTCTCCCTCAACACCAAGACTTGGAGCAATATCCATGGCTCATTCCTGTTCCCAACTACCATAAAAGTAGGGGAGATATTTTTCAGAAGCCACACTATTAGGCGTAGTTTGTTCAAATTTGAGCCTTAGCTATGTTTAAGGAAAACTAAATCAATGCAGGGGATTGTATAGGCAAAGGGGCTCTGATAGAATTATCAAGCAACATGGATATATTAGGTAGAGCTCTGTACCAAGGAGTGAGTTGTTAACCCAGAGCAAAGATGGCTGCCAAGGTGAAGGTTGAGCAAAAGAAAATTTCTCAAAAGAAGTGAAATGCTCTAAAGTAGAACATAGCCTAGTAGTTTCCGGAAATACTTACAATTGGCCCAGGTGGTCCTGGAGGGCCAGAGGACCCATCTTTTCCAGGAAAGCCCTAGGGAAAAGAAACAGTGTGTTAACTATGCAATTGCTTTATATGGTTTTCAGATAGATGTACTTAATCCCATTTAATATTTGGAGGGGGCAAGTGTTGTTGCTTACTCTGGACTTCTAAGGATTCACCGCTTCTAAACCCTTCATAAGAATTGTTCTTGGCAAGACTTTTGTGTCTGTTGGCTCTGTGAAATTGTCTAGCACAAGAATTTTAGGTCTAAGTAAGACATGCCACTTACAAACTTAAACAGGAACTTGTTTCCAGAAAGTGTTTTTCTTAAACCAAGCATAACAAATGAAAAGGGAGATGAAGTTTTGGTAATCAATCAGACAAAAAGACAAAAAGACGAGTCAGTATCCTTCATGATCTGAAGTCAGAGAGCATTTGGGGCAAGGACTATCAAAGAAATCGACATTACAAAATTACTATAATATCTGAAACTGCAACTCTTCAGGAGCAGCCTGGAGAACAGTGGGGTAGGTTTCCTGTTGCAATGATATGGTTTTGACTGCTGGGCCAACTTGTTCAATGTGTCATCACGAGCTTACAAATGAGTGCATGCTGGCTTCCCATTCCATGTTGGAAGGGCTTAAGGCAGAAGGCAAATGATATTCTTTCTGAAAGTATCTTCCTAAATGATTTAATGTGGGTAAGTGTGTGTTGGTTTTATGTGAAAAATATAACCGTCGGCATGAGTGATTCTTGAATGGTTATGGTTCTAAACTGTGGATGCCGGTCCTTCCAATCCAGTTAAAGACAGGAAAAAGGATCTTCAGTCTGAATTTTAGAACAGGTTAATAAAATATTAATCAAAACATCGTGTTCTTCTACATGGAGAAGTGAACTTTTTGTCTTGAGATTTGTCTCTCTTCGGAATAAAATCCATTTCCATCTCAAACCAACTCAACCCAAGTCAAATCAACCTCTCTTGGCTCACTTGTTGCCTCTCCCAATTCCTTTTCTGAAACCTGTGCCACTTTTCCAGTGAGCTGTTTTTTCCCACTTTGTCTTGTCCATGAAAATCATCTTCTTAGGGGTTCCTGTCCACATTCCCATTCTCTCTCCCTACTTCAAGGTATCAAATAGAAGAGTAAAGATGAGACTGGACAAAAGGATACGGGGTGTGACTGGGAAGAAAGGAACCAAAGGGGGCACGATGAGGGGGTGGGATAAGTATGGAGGAACAGCACTGGAGGGCCAGCAAGGCCCTCTCATGCTCTCAAGCTCAAATACTGGCAACTCTGAAAACTAGATAAGGTTGATGATTCTAGAGCTCACCGATATTTGTGATTTTCCTTTTCTGCCCAGGCACATTGTGAGGCTAAATTCCCAGGCTCCAGTTCCAGGAATCATGTTGGAGCCACAGCGCTGAATTCTGGCCAATGGAAAGGGGCCAGTTCCAGCTCTGGCTTATGAAAATTTCCTGTGGGTAATCCTCCACTCTCTTTTCCCCTTTTGTAGCAACTTCAGAGCCCACGTGTTAAAGATTAAAGTGTCCCAGGATGGAAAGACCCCGAGTTTCTAAATGACCATATGGAGCAGAGACTAGACCTCCCCACTCCTCTGTCTATCTTGTTGATAGCATTGGGTTGTGAGCCAACAATAGACTTTATTTTATTTTATTTTATATTTTATTTTATTTTATTTTATTGCATTAAACCACTGAGATTTTAGGGTTGTTTGTGATGTCAGTTATCCTACACTAATATACCTGCCGCTAGTTGTGGGTTTTTTTTACTACTATTTCTGTTTTTTCAGTTAAGACATTCAGTCAAAAATATTAAGTCAGGGGGCACCTGGCTGGCTCAGTCACGACAGCATGGCTCTTGATCTCAGGGTCATGAGTTCAAGCCCCATGTTGGGTTTAGAACTTACTTAAAAAAAATTAATTCAAAAAGCTGCAGTAATAGACCCCAATACAGATTAAGTTACACACACACACACACACACACACACACACACACACACACACCCTTCCTTTTGAGGATTTGTTAACTAAATAGCAAAAATTAATGCTGACATAGTCTGAAAGAAATTATTTTGCATGTTGTTTAAATATAGCATAAAAGATCAGAATATGTGAGAGATGAACAGGACCTAAGAGCTCCTTCAGTTCAATCCTCTCATGGTGTAAGTGAGAAAACATGGGACCAAGAGAAGTTAGGAGACCTTATAATTAAAAATAAAAAGGAATTTTAAAAAATGTATTATTTTCTCAATGAAGTTCACATAAGAAAAAAAAGGACTCTGGGCACATATTCGATAATTTAAGAAGACATTTTAAAAAGAAAATTTTTTGCTTCTTGCCTTAAAACTCTTCCAGCAGTGGATGGGAAGCAAACACGGACCCGTGTGTAACCCACACATGACACACCGTCAACACAACGCCCAGCAATCAACACCGTAGCGTTGCTGCAGGAGGCCTTCCCCAAAACAAGCAGGGGCAAGTTTATTCACAGAGGGAGGCAAGCCATGGCATATTTTCTTAAAAGAAAAGTGCATCAGGGGCACCTGGGTGGATCAGTTGGTTAAGCCTCCGACCTTGGCTCATCATCTCACAGCTGGTGAGTTCGAGCCCCGTGTTGGGCTCTGTGTTGACAGCTCAGAGCCTGGAGCCTGCTTTGGATTCTGTAACTCCCTCTCCTGCCCCTCCCCTGCTCACACTCTGTCTCTCTCTCAAAAATAAATAAACCCTAAAAAAAAAATAAGAAAATTGCATGATTCCAAGGAAGATCTGCAGGAAATAACACATTTACGCCCCCCTCCCAATCATGAGGAAGGAGCTGAAAAAGAGACACATCAGTTCTGTCCTCCACAGCGGCACTGAAGGATGTTCTTGTGAACAGTTCTGAATTCTCCTGATTTCTGGACCCCACATGTGACTCATCTGGAAGGGAAGACAGAGCAATGTTCCTACATCGTAGGAGCTAAATTTGGCGGAGCGGCTCATGGTTGAGTGTGATCAAAAGAGGATGCTAGAGAGAGCCAAAACATAAGAGACTCCTAAAAACTGAGAACAAACTGAGGGTTGATGGGGGGTGGGAGGGAGGGGAGGGTGGGTGAGGGGTACTGAGGAGGGCACCTGTCGGGATGAGCACTAGGTGTTGTATAGGAACTAATTTGACAATAAATTTCATATTAAAAAAAAAAGGATGCTAGACAAGATGTTTGCTTACTCTGTGTCATTCTACCTGCCAGAAGCTCAGAGGGCAGACATTAAGTTTTACTCATTGTTCCATTCCTAATATTTTCCTAGCACATTGCTGGCACAAAACTAGGCACTAACAAAATGTTAGTTCGAATTCGAATAAAATTGAGGATGCTGGAAGAAGTATTCTGATTACTGGGTTGACTAAATAAGTATTAATCTCAAGCATAATTAGTCTGGAAATGTGTGTAGGGCAGGGGGGAAATGCCAATGTCATCGCCCTTGCTGCTGAGCTGTCTACAACGCAGGAGAAAGGCATCAGGGACCTTCAGAAGCTGAAATTTCATTTCAGTGAATATCTTAGGGGTGATTTTCTAGAAGCAGACCTGGATATTATGCCTTTGATATCTAGAGGGACTGTCCTTGGGAGGCACCTGCTCGGGAGGAAAGGAGGCAGGAGAGGGCCTAGGAAGAGGCATGAGAATTGGCTATCGCTGAAGTCTGGCCTCAGCTTATCCCATGAGGAGAGCTGGAGTGGGAGTTATAGCCCAGATATAACCTATGGTAAAGTTTCATTCATTCCTATCAGTTAGTCATTAACCGGGACCAAGGTGGCATTTCCAAGGGCAATTCTCTGTGGAAGGGCCAATTCTGAACCAGGCATGAATCTGAATCGAAGGGCCAATTCTGAATCGAGCATGTTTGGATATGACAGTTCAAGAATAAAAGCATTCTTAAGGTTACCGTGGGTTACCAGCTTCTCTGATTCCAAAATAAAACGCACGTTCCATATTGTTATAACTAAGATGATATTAAAATTAATACCATTTTAGAATCATTATCCAACCCATTTTCCCCAAATTTTCTTCCTAACCCTAGAAAATAAAAAGTTCACATTTTCATCATGTAAATATGATTTGCAGTTTAATTTTTTAATCACATGAGTAAACATGTTTTTTTACTTGGAAGCCTCACATTTGTCACATTAGAAAATTATTTGCAGAGCTACTCTGTGCTGTGCTTTCTGGTAGGATTTGGATAGCTAATGAGGAACAACACAGTCTTTCCAAGAAGTTTCCAGTTTTGAGCAAAGTCAATGATTGAAAGAAAATGACAATGTGCTATGATGATGGATGAGAAGAGTTCCATGGAAACATGTAGGAAGAACACAGTATCCTGGCAAGGGAATGGAGAGAGGGCTTGACTGGAGAGACGTTTGAATCAAGGGACCCAGGATGACCGGGTCACTGCATTAGTTTCCCTGCTTGTGGGCCGCCATGACACCACATTACGGCTCATCTTTGCAAACCAGGCAACATTCAGCCAGGGCTCAGATCCTGCCTCTCATCCCTTCACCTCAGGGTGAGGAGCAAGGGCAGGACCTTTTCTATATAAGAGCAATAAACCTGGTGAAGAGAAAAACTCTGTAAAATGTCCGCATGTTACAAGGCAAAATAATTGGCAAATCCGAGCCTTGGGATTCAGCTTAATCTATATCAAAGCTCATCGAATGAATGGCCATCAACCCTTATCAACTAAAAATGTGTTTGCATTTCCCAGAACATTTCTATGTCTATACGTTTTCCATTTCATGTTAGGTAGCCAATCTGAGAAGACGTATGTTTGTGAATTAAGCACTCCCAGAAAAAGCAGAAGCCCCTAATTAAGCAATGAAGAATGAAGAGGAGGGAATAGAAGATTAGGTGATAAGCATAATATAGACATTCACTGAAGCCGACAAATATATTTTTTCAAGTGCATGAAATCAGCCACCCACAAACAGGGATGTTTTATGACATGAATAGATCCAGGCATTTTTCTTTTCCTGAGATTCCCACCTTAAAATATTAAT